GGACACAATCGAGGGAAACTCGCGTTTAACTCGCGAATCTCGCGGTTCGTTGCCGTTCTATGCAAATATTCTTCTGGCGATCATGTTGGAATCAACCCTTGTTTGCGAACAGGGGATGTTTTCTTCTTTAGGAAGAGGGGATTGCGTTGATAGGGAAATGTAGTACGTGTGGCTTGATAAATTAGATTTTTTTGTACTCTGGAAATGTTTGATATGCAAATTGAAAGATTGTTTATTACTGTGAAAATTGAAAAAATAAAGTTGTTAAACTTATGATGTTTTAGGATGTTAATATATTAACGATTTGAAAATACAACCAATTTAATATTTATTGAATTTAATATTGAATTTTTATTATAAACAAGAATATCTAAAAATTTTTGGGGAGGATTTATATAAATATGTTCCACAGTTTTATCTCTAGATTGCTCCATCTTTTAGAATAATAATAGATAAAAATAAATTAAGTTTACTTAGGATTAAACATAAAAATAAACATAGTAGACAAAAATTGAAAAATGTGATACAAATAAAGTGATATAAATACGTCACATCTACTTGAATTTCAAATTTCATCCTTTTTCTTTTTTAATGAAATCAATTTTTAGAATGAAATTTTTTCTGATAGAAAATAATTAAATAATTATAAAGAAACCCAGTACGCATTTAATATCAATTTGACAAATATTAAACAAATTCAATCGATTCTTTACGTAAAAAGAATCTTGAATCAACACACTAATTTTTGCAAAGCTAGTTAAAGAAGGGAAAGATTAAAATTATCAAAGAGCAAAAAATATCGGGTAAAATAAAAATACGAAAAAAACCTTTTTTTAGTTCAAAGATATCAGCTTGCAGTTAAAACATGTTCGACATTTTTTTCTCAGGATCGATACTCTGGATCGTTTCTTCATCGATCGACGTTGACGGGCCAATCGGCCATTAAGTATATCCCACCGATCGCAAAAAAGGAACGCAATCAATCTTCCATAAGTCGAAGTCTTCGAAGAAACACTCGCTTTATCGAACGTTCGATCGATACGAGGAAAATGTAACGTATAAGAGCGAAATCTCTAGGTGTCGCAAGAAATTCTCGATCGAGAATCTCGAAACATCGGCCCCTCGACGTGTGCAGCCAATAGTTTCGTCATCGATCAACCAGTAGGGAACGGGGGAAGCGGTTTCTTGCGCGCGCGTGGTGCACGTGTGTGTAGGATTTTCATTGAGAGGCATGTTTCGATTTGCATGTATATCGCTTGGGAGGGGAAGTTAGCAGCTCATAGATCTCTTCTTTGGTTTCAGGTAGCAGCGAGGAATCGAGACCTGGGGGTGGGGATCCTGGAAAGTTGGGGGTGAAGAAACCAAGACCGAAGGCTTCGTCGCCCAACCGACAGGGACCACAGCAGTGCCAGGTTGGTTTTATTTTGCTCGTAAATTGTACAATTGAAAATTCGAAAATAATAATGTAATTTTGTTTAATTCTTTTTTTTTTGTCTTATGGAAATTTTCGTATAAAGCATTTAATATATGTAAATTATATTTCTTTGTTTAAATTTATTGTTTAAATTTGACATATTGATTAAATAACTACTTGAATAATAATACTTGATTGATTTAAATGATAAAGAAATTGTAGAACCAATTTTTAAAGATTATCATTTACATTGATTGATTTTGAATGCTGCATACATGAGTTAAAATATATACTTTAATTCGAATTAGAAATATTTTTTTATCCTTTTGTGCAAACATCGTATTTAATTTATTAAATAAAACTATGTATTGTGAAGAAACTGAAGATTGATTCTTTTTAATAAACATTGAATAAGATTAGATTATCTCCTTTGTTATAGTTTATCATTAAGTGTTTTTTTTTAATTCTATTAATTCTATTAAAAATTTTGAATACTTAATAAACTTTCTATATATTTTTCACGATATCTTTTCATCTACAAAAAAAATCTTTTCATGTACAAAAAAAATATTAATTTGTCAATATTAATAACATTAAGAGCGAAAGACTTGATGTACACCATATATCTATACATCGTTTAACACAGAAAAGCAATTTCATGAACAATTTAAAAAAAAAAAAAAAAGGAAAAAAAGAAACACTTCTCACTTTTCCAATACTAAACCCTCTGACACAATTTCCTTTCAACGTCTGAAACACAAAAGATGTCATTCCACGGTCGAATTCACGCGGAAGGAAGAGATAACGGAGGCGAGAATTCGAAACACGTTTTAATGTCAAAGTTGAATCGTCGATCCGATCACAGTTCCCGATGACGTTCGTTCGACAATTTTATTAGCTCGTGAAGACCGACTACCGAAGAGAATTTCCAGTGAAATCGTGGAGGGACAGTTCATTAGCGACGATCGAATTAAAAGAACGATCGATAGCAAACGAAGTGTGGCTCGCGAAACCGCAAGTCTACGAAATCCATGCTTTTATTCCTCTTGTTTCGCGTTTTTACTCCGCGCTATTGTTCCACTTGTACTTCACGTTTTATCACTTTTGTTTCCCTAGGCAGTTTGCTTTTCGTTTTTTTCTTTTTTTTTTTTTTTTTTTTTTTTTTTTT